CGGCACATGCATCGCATGCATCTCAGCGAACGCAAGTTGATCTGGGCCCATTCCAAGAGACGCTCTACTAGAACACAGAGGCGCTTTGAGGAGAGTCCTCCCTGGCGATTTATGTAGGACACTACCGTCATGCTGTCCAATCTGAACAAGACGTGGTGTCCCTTCAGGTCTGGCAGGAAGGTGCGAAGGCCCAAACATACTGCCAGCATTTCCAGGCAGTTGATGTGCAGCCAACCTTGCGCTTTCGACCAGTGGCCGAAAGCCGGTTTGCCATCGCACAGTGCTCCCCAACCTGTGTTGGAAGCGTCTGTCGAGAACACCTTCCTCCTGCAGACCATTCCCAGGGGCACGCCCCGTTCCATCCACTGAGGGTCTTTCCAAGGGGCCAAAGCTACTACGCAGGCCTGGTCCACCTTGACACGAAGGCGTCCGAGACACCAGGCGTGGGACGGAACTCGTGGTTTCAGCCAGTACTGAAGGGGTCGCATGCAAAGCAGGCCCAACTGAAGTACCGGAGACACAGAGGCCATGAGGCCCAGCATCCTCTGATACGTTTTGAGAGGGCGAGTGGTACGATTTGAAAACTGTTCCCAGGAGCGATATTCGCTGGCTGGGGAACAACGTGCTCTTGGCGAAATTGACCCCGAGTCCCAGGCGCTCTAGGTGGCTGAGGAGGAGGGTCTTGTGTGATACTAATTCAGCCTCTGACTGGGCCAGAATGAGCCAGTCGTCGAGGTAGTTGAGAATGCGGATTCCCATCGGGGCCATCTGGCTATATAAGCGGGCATATCGCCATAGGATCCTCAGGTTACTTCGACTGAAGCGACGACCGAGTCGTGCAGCTACATAGTATGGCTAGTTACGCAGTACTCGTTCCCGTATCTCAGGGAATCGAGGTTACGTTAGTAACCGAGTACATTCCCTGTCGATACTTCACTCGTACTGCGTCTGCTAAGACGCTATGGGGAACTAGTACAAACCCGCTGTGCTATGCTAGAGGAACGACTCATGTTTGAAATTGCCTTAAGCACAACAAGGGGCCCAGAGGGACTAAGTAATTAGCAGGGAAGCCCTGCAGGAGGCAATAGAAAAAAAGCTCGCAGAGGTCGCAGAGGGCTCGCAGAGGTTTTCCAAGAAAAACTCCGTACAGCCTCGGCACTCAGTGAGGGCCAAGAGCGTACAAGAAGGAAGGCAAAGCCTAAGCACTGGTTTGGCACGAATGAGCCCATTATGCAGAAAGGATCCGGGCCTGTAAAGCCAGAACGTCCAGATTATATAACCTGGCAAATGTTGACGGCGAGGCCCAGCCGGCCGCCGCACAGATCTCTGCAATGGACACACCGCTAGACCCCGCCCAAGACGAGGCTATGCCTCTAGTCGAGTGTGCTCTTACTCCCATGGGGCAGTGTAGGCCCAAGGAGGAGTACGCTAGCGCAATAGCGTCAACTATCCATTTGAAAAGTCTCTGCTTCGTGACTGGAAGCCCATTGGTGTGGCCACCGAAGCATATAAAGAGTTGTTCCAACTACCTAAGTGGGGTGGAACGCTCAATATAAGTCCTCAATGCCCTGACGGGGCAGAGTAAGTTTAACTCCTGGTCATCCTCCGAAGAAGGAAGCGCCGATAGAGTTATAACCTGTGGTTTTTAGCATCAGGGAACAAAGGTCAATGGATTGTAGCGGCTCAAAGAGAGGTCTCTTTAGAGCCCTCAACACCGTGGACAAATCCCATGTAGGGACTGTGATGGGGCGAGGCGGATTAAGCCTCCTAGACCCCTTCAGAAAACGAACAACCAAATTGTTCCTGCCCACAGATTGGCCAGCTATAGGAGCGTGATAGGCTGCTATGGCTGCTACATAGACCTTGAGCGTGGAAGGGGAACGGCCCTTGTCCAACAGCTCTTGCAGGAAGGACAATATCAGAGATATGTCACAGGAAGCTGGGTATTCGCAGCGGGTCGTGCACCAGGCGGAGAAGACCGACCACTTAAGGGTGTAGAGGAGTCTCGTAAACGGAGCTCTAGCTTGAGAGATTGTATTTAGTACGCTCTCTGGGAGGTTCGCAGGCTCCCATCAAGAGGCCAAAGATGCAGAGCCCAAAGCTCGGGCTGAGGGTGCCATATCGTTCTGTTCACCTGAGAGAGGAGGTCCCGCCTCAGGGGAATGGGCCATAGAGCTGCTACCAACAGTTGGGACAGCTCTGCGAGCCAGTGATGGTTCCTCCAGAGCAGGGCTACTAACAGAACATTGTGCTCTTGTTCCCTGATTCGCCTGATTACCTGTGGGATCAGGGCGATCAGGGGAAAAGCGTAAAGTAGGAGGTTGGGCCAGTTGTGAGCCAATGCATCCATGTCCTTTGAGAAATAAGTTGGGCAATGAGAGTTGTCTTTTGAGGCAAAGAGGTCGACCTCTGCCATGCCAAAGATCTCCCAGATTTTCTGAACCGTCTGCGGGTGGAGCATCCACTCTTCTGAGGGGACATTGCACCGAGATAGCATATCCACGCCTTGGTTCAATTTGCCCGGCACATGCATCGCATGCATCTCAGCGAACGCAAGTTGATCTGGGCCCATTCCAAGAGACGCTCTACTAGAACACAGAGGCGCTTTGAGGAGAGTCCTCCCTGGCGATTTATGTAGGACACTACCGTCATGCTGTCCAATCTGAACAAGACGTGGTGTCCCTTCAGGTCTGGCAGGAAGGTGCGAAGGCCCAAACATACTGCCAGCATTTCCAGGCAGTTGATGTGCAGCCAACCTTGCGCTTTCGACCAGTGGCCGAAAGCCGGTTTGCCATTGCACAGCACTCCCCAACCTAAGTTGGAAGCGTCTGTCGAGACCACCTTCCTTCTGCAGACCATCCCAGGGGCACGTCCCGTTCCATCCACTGAGAGTCTTTCCAGGGGCCAGAGCTCCTCTGCCGAGCCATTGGTTCGTTTTTAATTCACTGCACGAACCAATGGCCGTGCAGTTACACTGCGTTATTGAAAAAGGCTTCAGTCATCGGAGAAAAAGGAGTTTTCCCCATAGCGTCTTAGCAGACGCAGTACGAGTGAAGTATCGATAGAGAACGATTACTCTCGCACACACACCCTCCCCCCACCCCCCAAAAATCACCCATAGACATCAATTGAAGACTATAAAAATTTAGATTTTTTGTTACATAATTTGTCAAAAATGGCAGTTACAATGCAGACAACACACAAAATCTGAAGGGGTGACACCACAGCACATCCACGATGGAGGAAAAACACACACAACCCCCACCCCCAAAACCATAAAACCCACTCATGACATGAGTGGCTCTCTCTTACATAATTTGTAGAATAAAAATCAGCTACAACAAAGAACACACACAGAAATGATGGAGGGAAACCACAGGACATCCACGATGGAGAATAAATGCAAACACACACACATACACTCACTAATACACACATATAACACCACATGCCGTTTTGACTGTAATCATGTCATAACTGCAAAAAAATGCTATTTCTGTACAAAAAAATGCTAAACTTCGGCAAAGAGTAATTTTATATTATTGCAATAATGATTTTGTAGTATCTTAACATTAATCTAATAAAAAAAAACTTGGCAAAATGAGCCATTGAGTAATGCTCTAGAGCCATCTGGTGGCTGTAGTTAAAATGTCATGCTTTTTTATTTTAAAAGTGTTTGTTTTCAAATAGACGGAAACAAAATTTGGCATTAAACTATGGCACATTGGCCATGTTATCCTCATGAATTAAAATTAGAAATGTGGGTCTTTTATAAAGCGAATTTTACATTTAAAAAAAAAAGTTTTATATAAAAACATATTAAAAATATTTTTTAATTCATTTATATAAATGTAAAAAAATATCATAAATCCTCCAAAAACTGCACAAATGTAGAGAAAAAAAACCCATTAATAAACTGAGTAAAAATGCATTTGTAAAAAAAAAAAAAATTGTTTTTAATTAATTCTGTAACAAAATTACATTTTGTTGCCTGGGGTCTCTGGAGACCCCAAACAGCATGAGTGTCACACCCAAACGAACAGTGCACACGGGTTAAGCACCAAATCAGCATATTAGAACGATTTCTGAAGTATCACGTGACACTGAAGACTGGAGTAATGATGCTAAAAATTCAGCTTTGCATCACAAGAATAAATTAAATTTTAAAATATATTCAAATAGAAAAAAGCTATTTTAAATTGTAATATTTCACAATATTCCTGTTTTAACTATATTTATGATCAAATAAATGCAGCCTTGGCAAGCATATAAGACTTTTTTTTTAAAACACTAATAAAATCTTAGTCCACAAACTTTTTAATGGTAGTGTGCATTTTGTGTACGATTTCTGGTTTGTGTCATCCGTAGCGCACCATGACTTTGGCCATTTTTATGGCTCCAGCTATGTAGCTGCACCTGACGGCAGCAGATCCCCAGGATTATCCAGAACCCGTGATGGCCTGCTGGTGACAGAGATGGACTTGAACCTAAATCGCCAAGTTGCAGACAAGTGGAATTTCAAGGTGGGATAAAAAAAATAATAAAATCACTATCACTACACGTTCAACTTTACATTTAATCAGATAGAGGTTAGATAGTCAATAAGGTTTGTCTCTGGTAGGATCTGCATGCCATTCACATGTGTGAATCTCTCCATAGATGACTGGGAGGTATGAAATGTATGCAGAGGAGCTCAAAAAAGCCATCCAGCATGACTTCAAACCCAACATTGTTAAGGAGTGAGCTTATCAGGAAAACATGAGTGCCAAAAGCCCTTGAGAGGAACCGCACTTTCAGCTGAAAGCCATGCTTGGCACATGTAGGAGAACCACATTATGTATTAGTGATAAGTCCTTGTACCTCTACTTGAATTTCACAAAATAACTTATATCATTTATATAATTTATCAGTTCATTTTTAAGGTCAATAACGGAAGGATACATTTGAATAAAATACAAATCCAACTTTTATTAATTTCTGAAATGCAACTATATATTTCATAAAAATAAAGTTTGCCATATCAATATTCCTTATGTTCTTTAAAAAAAAAGCACAAGCTGATGTAATTGGACACCTGATGTCTTAAAAATCAAAGAAAAAACAACATTTAACCTGAATGATCAAATATTAAATAACATAATTATGGCTGGTGGAACAACATAGTTCAAGTATTTCATTTGTCAGCCATTGTGTCACAAACAATCGACGATTGAACCATTTGAACCACTGAGCAGGCATAGTGTGTTTACAAGATAGCAAACAGCAAAGCGTTCACAAGTTCAGACCTTTTCAAACGGTGCACAACACCTGACGGTAAAACTCTAACCCTAGTGTTCCTGTTCTCTCTCGGAGGAATTAACCGAGTGTAGTTACTATGAATTACGCCAACACAATATAATCATGAGAATTGACCAATGTAATACAGTAAATTACACAGAAACAGGTCTAATACTGTACTAGTGCTATGAGCGAGTTTAAAATGTACTTTATGATCACGGTTCGCGGTTCAGAGTCGCCCACAAAGCAGCCAAACGCTCTCTTGCTACTCTACATGAGGTTATGACAGACGTCCAGGTGATTCTGTTCTCGAGGAAACCCCTGGAGAAGTGAATCCACACATATTGCACCTATGAATTTTTTTTCCCAACAGTGGGATATAATTTAACATGCTGGATTTATCAAATCTTACCTGAGTTTTTAAAAACAGCTTTTCTCTTTTACAATAATTAAAACCTTTCATTGTGTTAATTAAGTGGCTTCCAAGAGAAAAATAATAAAATGAATAATCAACACAACCCCATGATTTTGCAAGGTTATCCTGAACAAACACAAAGTCTCTATCTTTACATGAATGGAAAAACATTATGTACACTCCTCCTCCACCTCTTACAGTGGCAGAGATTATATATGAGCTATAGATAAAAATATAAGTCCACATCACAATAATGAAGAGTTACATATATTTATAGCATTTCCCTTTCCTTTCTGTGTGACTATTTCATTCAGTGGCCAATGTAGCACCATAGTAATGCTTTGTGCGATGCTATAGCTCTAATGAAGACCATAGCCAGAGGTGACACATACTACCTGCTATTGGCCAGCAGCACTGGTTCCTGTTGGCAAAAATGCTACCCAGCCAACCACAGTGGATGCAAAAGGTGTTTTGAATGTTTGTTCGTTCAGAAGCTGTCAAGACTCAGCCGTCTTTGTAGATGAACAGAATATCCTCGTCAGTTCCGTAGCTTCTTCTGGCCTCCTCGAAATTACTAAAGCTTGTGCAGCACACACCTGTCAATCAAAGATATGGGCATATATGTTAATGTGTAAGATTCTGTATTATCATTAGGAAAACTTTAGCCAAAAAAGAATATTTCCTGAAAATGTACTCACCCTTAGACCATCTGAGATGTACATGAGTTTGTTTCTTCAACAGAGTTGGAGAAATTTAGCATTACATCACTTGCTTATCAGTGGATCCTCTGCAGTGAATGGGTGCCGTCAGAATGAGAGTCTAAACAGCTGATAAAAACATTACAATAATCCACACGACTCCAGTCTGTTGAAAGTTAAAATGCCTTAATGATGGATTTGTTTCATACAAACACAAAGCTTTTTACTTAACAAAATGTTTATTTGTGGACTAGAGTATTACTCGTGGATTATTGTGATGTATTTAATCAGCTGTTTGGACTCTTATTCTGACCGCACCCATTCACTGCAGAGGATCCATTGATAAGCAAGTGATGTAATGCTAAACTTCTCCAAATCTATTCTGATGAAGAAACGAACAATCTACATCATGGATGGCCTGAGTAAATTTTTTAGCAAATTTTCCTTTGTGGTTGAACTATTTATTTAAAAATAACCATAATAAACACTGTAATAAATAAGGCTGTTGGGTCTAAGATGTAAGTGGCCTCAAAAAAGTATTTGGAAATTTTAAAAAAAATAAATAAATAAATAAAATATTTTATTTGGATACTTCAAGTATCCAAGTATTTTTGTTTACATATTTGAATTAATATTTATTAGGGGTTCAAGCACGCAGTGCTGAAACCCTATTGTAATTGTAAGGATTTTTTTTATTATTATTTTTCTCCGCTAAAACTGATCGTGCAGACCAAACCGTAAGGCCTAGAGAGCTGAAACTTGGCCAGAAGGTAGAGCTCCCTGAGGGGACATTCTGACAAAGGCTCACCCCAATCGGCCAAAGGGGGGCGCTACAGTGCAAAAAACTAAAATTTCAGACATTTTTGGCCCTAACTCGTACACTTTTTGTCGTAGACTCAAAAATTTTACATCGTTGCAATCCTTGGAGTCAGACAGGTTTTCTCTACGACGCATGTTTTTTCCGTAAAATTGACCTATATCCCAAACCTACTTTTGCGAACTAGTCCGAGGTTTTTCACCAAACAACTGCAGAAATATTCGCTGGACACTGAATATCAATAATTATCAAAAACCTCAAGAACCATTGGTGTCAATCAAATCATTCATTAATTATTCACTAATATGTTAAAAACCTACTTTTGCGAACTAGTCCTAGGTTTTTCACTCAATCTCAATCAAATATTATTATTATTATTATGTATTTAACCATTTAAACCCTATGTGTGTGTTTTTTAAAAATGTTTTGCATTAATAGTGTGCTTGTGCTGTCTTTAAGAATAATTCCAAAACTTCACAATACATACGGTCCGAGTAGGCGGGGTTGTTGTAGAAGATGCTGCCAGTTTTACGGTTAAATCCACAAACCACCACAAAGTGGCCCTGGTAATCTGGCTTCCTGCAAAAGCACTTCTGACCCACAGGGAGGAAACAGCAGTATTTGACAGGGGTGGAGCACAGCTCACACACCAACACCACTGCGTTGACCAGCACGATGGCCACATGACCCTGCTCCAGGTGGCTCTGGATCTCCTGAACCGTAACAGAGCTACAAGAACAAGATGTGATCAGATTTCTTCATGCACAGCACAGGAGTTTCAGTTTACTGGAATATGTTTTGATATAATCTCGAAATGAAAACTTCTGATGTCACAGAACTGGAACTATATATACACAACTATTAAATTAAATTTGATACTGTTTTGTCTAAATGAATAAAAAAACAAAAACTATGATTTGAAGATTTTAAGCATCCATGTAGTCCACAGATTGCATAAACTGATAAAAATATGTATGTGTTCAAGGCAATGTAATTTGCATTTAATAAAAGCTTTTTTAAAGATAAGTTAAATGTAAAAATCTAATTGTAAAAATGCATACTTAAATATACAGTATTGCCAATAGTAATAAATTCCAAAAGTTCAATATTGTGCATGGCTTTTTGACCAACCAGTTTCCATCACTTTTCCAGTTGTGCCTAATTACTGCATAGAATGTCTTTATAATATGATTTTAAAAATGTATACACATTACATATTTGTTTGTTTGTTTTTAACAACTGTATTAATTTCCATGATTTTTCAAGCATGGAATTTCTATTTATATATATCCAAATTTTAAATTACGATTTTAACCCGCACAAAGTGTCAGTATGCGCCACAAAGGAAAAAAAGAAAATGTGTTAAATGTGGAAACCTCACCATTTTTTCACCAGGACTCCTTTGCTTTCAGCCTTCAGAAATAGTTCATTCACCCTGTCCTCTTCCGTGTCAAAATGTTTTTTGTAGAAAGACTAAATGCAGAAGAACACAAGAAATGGAAAAATTATTCAGATGCCAAGGTGATCACTATTGAGTCCGAACTGATCCTTTGATTAAAATGACAGCTCTTCAATCATAAATAAAATCAAGAATATTTCTTTATATGAATGTTAAAACGGCCCTGACTAATGCCATTTTCTTGGAAAAATGGACTGAAACATCCATTCTTTCCTGCGCTGCATGTGACACTTAGCTTGTACTCTATCTGCAGTGATCATGACTGTATGACATGATTTGAAAAACAGATAGCACCTGGTTCCTGAAGCCCTTGTCCACACCGAGCGTCTGTGTGTAGAAGCAGTGTCTGACCCCCAGCTTACACATGAGATAAGCCAGGTCAATAGTCCACACGCTCTCCGTAAACTCCAAGTCCAAACACGCTCTCTGAAATTCCTCCTCACTTACTGGATGTAAATACCTGTGCACAAAAACAAGAGTTTAAATATTTACCATTAGAGTAACTGTGCATAATACATCACTTAGGATTCATACTTACTCTAGTACCATTCTCGAACAGGCCAAGCCACAATCCCAGTGGTACAGCTGCCGGATGACCGGTACATTTAACATCACATCATCTGGCAAAACAAGATCAGACAGGAAGCTGGTAATGTCACTGAGCAGCATTCACATTAACCCAAGTTGCATTATCAGGTTGTATTGAAGATAACTTCGTTTTGGTTGTGAACTGAGGTATATAAAACCATTATGTTGTATTTTATACATATAGAATCGAAAAAAATAAATAAAAACAGGTAAATGAGAGTGAATAACAACTTGGAAAAGTTATACACAAGCAGCATGAGGATAATATATGAACTGTTCATTTAAATTCAATATATCCGGGTTGAGTATTTTGTATATTAGAGAAGGGTCATGATTGATTATAATGCTAGTTAGTTTACACAGTTTCCAGCCATCTAAGATGTTCCGTTTAAACGTCATTTATCACAAACTCACCGTTCATGATGCAGTCGGTGTGTGTCTCTCTGTGTTGTTGTGTTTCAGTGATGTTTAATAGCAGGTAATTCATGAAGATTGTCTGCTAGCGAGGTTAACATTAGCCGGGCAGCTGTTGCACCTCTTGTCCTCCACATAGGACTCACTAAAATCTGTCCATCTTCAGCTCAATGAAAGCTGTTTACGGACTGTTAATGAAAAGCGGTGAAACAGCTACAAACACGACTTGTTTAGCCCACGCCTTGTGGTCATTCCCAGGGATGAATGCTTCACTTCCTCTGTGTCAATCCAAACCACAGCGAGCGTCGGTGGTCGGTACACGGAACTCGCCCTCTGCTGGCAAGACGAGAAATGACAGTAAAACTCCACCTCGATTCGACAAAAATAGTGAAGAACTAGAATATTTCTAGAATTTTTTTTGAGAATTCTGTCTCTATATATGTTTTAAATACATTTAATGACATTTCCCCCCAAGATGAGTAAATAAGAGTAATTTTATTCATATAAATTATTATTATTTATTACATTTATTCTAATTCAACATAAATAAAAAAGCACAGGGTACATTTGTGATTAAATTGGTTCATTCTATTGCTAGGTATTAGGAATATTGTTTCATTTGCTATGCTTATAGGGCTTTTTACTAATACCTAAATACCTAGTAATAGAAAGAACTCATTTAATGACAAATTTATCTCAAAAATACCACAACGTGGTTTTACCGTTTGACTGTTGTGTCATTCAGTCCGGTAGGTGGCAGTACGTGTCTCCAGTTGAATAAAATCCCGGAAATTCTATTGAACACCAAAGACAAAACTGTGGACGTTCGGTGCACGTTTGGGTGAGTTTTTATTAATTTATCTGAGAAAGGTCAAACTGGGTCGTGTCTGTCTGTGTTTATTTGTAGATTTATTGTTAAATTATTACTTCTTGTTATGTGTGTGTTTTTATTTTGCTTATGACAAACTTGCGTTAAGATCCGTCTGACCCATTCATTTAATTTAAACGGCTTCCATTAGTTTTCACCTCCTCGTAAAGCAAAGATTTATCTTTTGTCCAAGTTATTTGTCCTCTGCCAGGTGTTCTGCTGCGTCTTATTTTCTCTCTCTCTTAAAGTTGACAGATAGCTTGTTAAGATGTCTATTGGAGTGCCCATCAAAGTTCTTCATGAAGCAGAGGGACACATAGTCACCTGTGAAACCAACACTGGGGAGGTTTACAGGGGCAAACTGATCGAGGCTGAGGACAACATGAACTGCCAGGTACTGAGATTTGTCCTGTGTGTTGCAAACTAATCTTCTGAAAGTCTCTTAATTATTTCCTTATAGAAACCTATTAATGTAATACATTTTTTAGTTATCTTAATACTTGCATTGGATATATATATATATATATATATAGTGTGTGTGTGTGTATGCAGTGGTGTAGCAAGGCTCCAACTTGGTTAACTTATTGTTGATTAACGTTACATCTTACATGTATTCACAAGCTGTTTTATTTACGGTATAAATGCTTGGAAATAATATTTAACGTTTTCAAGTCTGTTCATCATTTGTACCATGCAAGCCGCCACCCAATAATCGCAATAAGCTTTGTGCTTTGTTACTTAAACACAAAGTGTCAGTCTTCTGTCAACTTTATAATAAAATACTACAAACAATAAATTTGTAGTTTTTACGCTTCTAAATTTGTAGTGAGATAACCATATTCGTCTCAGTTTAAGCAGCGTGTGAATCATAAAAATGTGGTTTTACCATATACTGTATGGGTTTTGGATTTTACCCATAATGGTTGATGTGTCGTTCAGTCCGGTAGGTGGCAGTACGTGTCTCCGGTATAATAAAATTGCCGGAAATTCTATTAAACGCCGAAGACGAACCTGTTTGTGGACGTTCGGTGCTCGTTTTGGGTGAGTTTTTATTAATTTCTTTGAAAAAGGTAAAACTGGGTCGTGTCTGTCTGGGATTATTTGTAGGTTTATGGTTAAATTATTATCTCGTTATGTGTGTGTTTTTAGTTTGCTTGTTTATGACAAACTTGCATTAAGATCTGTCTAACCTATTCATTTCATCCTTACAACTTTAATTAGATTTCACCTCTTCGTAAAGCCCTTTGTCGACGTTATTTCTCCTCTGCCAAATTTTCTGCGGTGTCTTATTCTCACTCTCTGAAAGTTCACAGACAGCTAGTGAAGATGTCTATTGGAGTGCCCATCAAAGTTCTTCATGAAGCAGAGGGACACATAGTCACCTGTGAAACCAACACTGGGGAGGTTTACAGGGGCAAACTGATCGAGGCTGAGGACAACATGAACTGCCAGGTACTGAGATTTGTCCTGTGTGTTGCAAACTAATCTTCTGAAAGTCTCTTAATTATTTCCTTATAGAAACCTATTAATGTAATACATTTTTTAGTTATCTTAATACTTGCATTGGATATATATATATATATATATATAGTGTGTGTGTGTGTATGCAGTGGTGTAGCAAGGCTCCAACTTGGTTAACTTATTGTTGATTAACGTTACATCTTACATGTATTCACAAGCTGTTTTATTTACGGTATAAATGCTTGGAAATAATATTTAACGTTTTCAAGTCTGTTCATCATTTGTACCATGCAAGCCGCCACCCAATAATCGCAATAAGCTTTGTGCTTTGTTACTTAAACACAAAGTGTCAGTCTTCTGTCAACTTTATAATAAAATACTACAAACAATAAATGTGTTTTTACGCACTTAAATTTGTAGTGAGATAACTATATTCGTCTCAGTTCAAGCAGCATGTGAATCAATGATATTTTCCTCTTTAATATTTGCAGCACGAAATAAACATGAATAAATATTTGAATGCATGTTGAAAAAATCAGAACCATTTAAAAAAACGAATGTTTCATGAAATCGATCAATTAGAGTTAAAAAAAACGTCAATAAGCCTACGTTTTATTGCTGTTTTTCTTGTTAAATGTGAAGAATGACAGGTTGGATGCCACAGACTTTTTTATTTTTATTTTTTTGGCGGAGTATAGGTGGAATTTTCACATTAACTTCACGCAATATAACATGATTTTATTATCGTAATTTTGACTTTATTCTTAAAATATTATGACGTTAATCTTATTTTTCAACGTGGCACTAAAATGAATCCGTAGGCTATTTGTACTGCATGCAAACACAATCTTGGCACAGAAGCCCAAAAAATCAAATTAATTAATTAATGAAATACTAAGGAGATATTTGAATTATTTATTAATGAACTAGTATTTTCTGAGTCAGCGTCACAAGATATTTATCATGTCTGTGAGGAGGCAAGTATTCACTGAGTTTCGGTTCATCATTGTGAAGCACTTCTGCTCAAGACCAAGACAACAGAAAGCGCATCCTGTTTGTTTTCCTTATTTTACAAAAGCACAGGTTTTTGTTGACATTGTTTGTGAGTACACACAAATAAAAGTAGACCCTTTACAAATCCGAATAATATATTACTCTTACCTTTTATGAGCAAAAATGACGGCGTATGTTAAGTTTCCACTCTTAAGAAAAAAAATGCAAGTGATCGCGCTGGCGCCTCTATGTCCTGCAAAGCGCGCTTCAGCTTCCACTCTCCGCACAAACGACTGTATATGCGTCTAACAGCACACATTTATCTAGGTTAAATTTTTTTATTAATATTGTGAATTGCATGAAGTGTTCTGTCTATTGATTTTATTTTAGGCAAGTTGTGTTGATTTGAGAAGGCAACATATGCTCAACTCAGTCAGCCGCTGACCGCTTGGTCGTTACTCTAAAAAAAAAAAAAACGTGAATTTAACAAACATAAAATGTTCCAAACATATTTCTAAATTAACTTAATAAAGAAACAAAAAGAAATATAACCACTTTGCCATTAAAAACCAAAACTGGACTAGCCTATTTGCTGCAACAGCAGCGGTGTAAAGGGGAAGAGAGAGAGAGAAAAAAGACACAGGCTCGGGTCAGACTCCGGCCGAGAATATTCTGTTAAGCTGTCGGACAAGGGCCGGCCCGTGCAAGACTCTATTCGTTCCCTCGTTTCAATTAAAGGTTCCCCCTCAGCTCGGCAGGCCCACAATACACCCAGACGCTACGCCCCTGTATGTATGTATATGTTTGTTTGTAACAGGGTTTGTACAAAAGTACACCAGTCTCTTGAAAAGGGTGACTTTCTTTTTTTTTTTTCTCTAAATTGTCCTCCAGATGGCAAACATCACAGTCACATACAGGGATGGCCGTGTATCTCAGCTGGAGCAGGTGTATATTCGTGGCAGTAAGATCAGGTTCCTCATCCTTCCCGACATGCTGAAAAATGCTCCTATGTTAAAGAGTATGAAGAACAAAAATCAGGCCGCTGGTGCAGGTCGAGGAAAAGCAGCTATTCTCAAAGCCCAAGGTATATACAGCCTCTTTACTCCAGTCCACACATCTAACACCAAACATGTTTTTTTTTTTTTAGAGAATTAATGTGACATTAGTGATTTATACTGTTTTTATAAAGATGATATTGAAACAGCAATCAAACTAAAGTTTGCATTAATGTTTTCGCAGTGGCTGCCAGAGGCCGTGGCCGGGGTGGACCAGGACGAGGGAACGTGTTCCAGAAGAGGCGCTAGTTTTATGTTGATTTTTTTTTTTTTTTTTTAGATTTTATTTTACCATCATTTTGGTCTGATGCATTTTATAATGTTCATTTTATGCTTTGGGAAATAAATGGGTGATTTTGCTATTTTTCCTGATTCTGTGAGTTTTTCTGGTGTTTTTTATTTTTCTTAGCATGTTTCTAGTTCTTTATATATCAGCAGCCATACTAAATGAGCTGTCAAGTTTTAAGACGCTACAGTGAAACAAATGCAGTGAGAACACTAATGTATTTTCTTAAAGGGGTCATATGATGCGATTTCATTTTTTCCTTTCTCTTTAGAGTGTTACAAGCTCTTGGTGCATAAAGAAGATCTGTAAAGTTGCAAAGACTAAAGTCTCAAATCCAAAGAGATATTCTTTATAAAAATTAAGAGTTAGCCACACCTACCTAAAACGGCTCGTTCGAACACGCCCCCACATACCTACCTATAATGTTCTTTTTAGCAGCATCATATGACCCCATAATTATAGCAACTGTGCTGTTGGTGATGACTGAGGGTGTTCAACCGCTTGATTTACATGAGTTTCACATGGTTATAGATACTGGCTTGCAAATGTGAGGAGTGCAAATGTTACTGGGTACCTAACAGATGTTTAACCAAATATCCGCAGGTGGCTGGCAGTGCATATCTTAATACTTTCATTAATCCTGCATGTTAAGAAATTACATGCAAAGCATATGTAAATTCTATTGAAAAGTATAGTAGATGTACTACAGGCTGACACAGAGTGTTCTGACCTTACATCAAGTACTGCGGTTTCATAGTGGACATTTCTTCAGCAATGGGCTGCAAAAACTGCTGCAGTATTTGCCTCCAATGTCTCTTTGGTTATGAAACCAATGTAATGCTGGTTATTAATAACAAAGGTGTGGGAGCCCTCTTCAGACTGATCCAGTTTATGATCATCGCCTATGTTGCTGTGTGAGTACATTTTTACAACATTATACAGCATTTAATCTTTGGAAGAAATATTGATTGCATCTACTTGTATTCATCTCATTTTTAAGACTCTTTGAATAAGAGTGTAATTAAAGCTTGAAAAGCCTGAGGTAAATGTATTTAAAAACCAACCGTTTTCCATTTCTGTCTATGCTAAATAATTTGGCGACTGAGAAAAAAGTTTTTTTTTTTCTTCCTTTTGTTACAATAAATGTGTGTGCTTTTACACGCTTAAACGTGGGTGTAAAAGCACACACATTTATTGTAACAAAAGGAAGAAAAAAAAAAACTGTGCTCTTGGAATGTAATGCAGTCTTAGTCTAATTCCATATCTGCATTGTACTGTCAAGATATGTCTGCTGGATTCAGCGCGCTTACCAGGACACAGACTCCGTGATCAGCTCGGTCAGCACAAAGGTGAAAGGAAACATTTTGACCAATACATCCATTGAGGGGGTTCATGTTTGGGACGTACCTGAATATGTTATCCCACCCCAGGTATCTACATTTGTTTGACAGAAACCCATTGCAATAGTTTCTCTGAGAGTTGTTTTGTTTGTCCATATGGCATATGCTTTTTGTAGAAATGAATTCCAGATTCAGTCAGCCTTGTTTTTGTTTATTTGGTAGGGAGAAAAATCTTTCTTCGTGTTAACAAATGTGATTCCGACTCCAGGCCAGACACAGAGCAAGTGTCCTGAGGTACGATCGAACACTTCCATATGTTTTGTCCATTTTCACACAAGAAGAGAACGTTGCATGTTGAATTACAAATTATTCATTTTGACAGATTCCGAGTGAAGTCACTAAGTGTGAATCTGACAGTGATTGCATAGAGGGACACACTGAAGTCCATGGCAATGGTATGCGTTTATGTTCTCTCAACAGTACTGCGTAATAATTCAGTGTTTCTGATGTAAGCTGTAAGTCAATGGCACAAAGTGAACTGTGTGTTCCTCCTCGCAGGTGTTCAGACTGGACATTGTGTGCAGTACTCTGATACGATCAAAACCTGTGAGGTGCACGCATGGTGTCCGCTTGAAAATGACACCATCATTCCAAAGTGAGTGTCTTTAGCAAAAGTGGGCAAGTTTGATGACCTTTGCTCAATTGAAACTGTGAATATTAATATAGTCTGTGATTGTACAGACCCGCTCTTCTAGGTGCAGCTGAGCACTTCACAGTGCTCATCAAAAACAACATACAATATCCAAAGTTCAATTTTAGAAAGTAAGTTCATGCATTTGGAATTCATTGACTGGAATCCCAAATGTTAGTGTGCTAGTGATTCTATTGTTTTGTGTTATTTCTAGGAGAAACCTTCTGCATCACATCAACTCCACATACTTAAAAAACTGCACGTTTGATCGTAAAACAGACCCACACTGTCCTATTTTTCGTCTGGGGCACATGGTAACTGAGGCAGGAGAGGACTTCAGCGTCATGGCTCTTAAAGTCTGTATTTAATAAAGCTGTATATCTGTTTTACTTATTTATATACACAAATGTCAAAAATGTTTAAATAAATGAATACTTATGAAGCAAGGATGCATTAAATTGATCACAGGTGACAGCAAAGACATTTATAATGTTATAAAAGATTTTGGTTTCATTGATACAACAACACAACACTGATAATAATAAATGTTTCTTGAGCATCAAATCAGCATATTAGAATAATTTCTGATGGATCATGTGAAACTGAAATTTCAGCTTTGCCATCACAGGAATAAATTACATTTTAAAATATTTTAATACTGAAAAGAGTTATTTTAAATAGTAAAAATATCGTTTTACTGTATTTTTGATTAAATTAATGCAGCCATTGTGAGCATGAGACTTCTTTTAAAAACATTGAAATGTACTGACCTTGAACTTTTGAAGTGTATTTAGATTAGTATTTTACTTACATTTATATTTATAGAAGTACTATAAGTTAATTACTGTAGTTGACGGTGTGTTTTAATGTTGAAGGGTGGTATTATTGGGATTTTAATTGACTGGAATTGTGACTTGGAATTCCCAGAACGTTTCTGCATTCCCAAGTATTCTTTTAGCAGACTGGACAACAAAAATCCTGAAAATAACGTTGCCCCTGGCTACAATTTCCGGTAAATGCAGTTAAACTGATTTAGATTTTTGATTGTAAAGCTAGAGGGTAACAATTTTGTTCTTTCCCACAGATTTGCTAAATATTATAAAAACAATAAAAGCATTGAAACACGGACATTGATAAAGGCCTTTGGAATCCGCTTTGATGTCATTGTGTTTGGGATGGTTTGTCTACTAGTCTACTAGTAAAAAATAATAAGCATCTATTTATTCCATTTTCGTTATTTAATCTCTAATGGTCTCTGCAGGCTGGTAAATTCAATATTGTGCCCACTATTGTCAATCTTGGTGCCGCTCTTGCCTGTCTTAGTTTGGTAAGCTCTGTTTTTTTTTTTTTTTTCAAAGATACCTATTTGAGTAAAATGCCTTTGTCTCAATCATTTTCATGTTGTTCCTGAACTTCTCCCAGGTGACTGCTATTTGTGACTGGGTCATGCTTACTTGTATGAAGGACCGTGACCAGTATGCCAAACGTAAATTTATTCACCTGAACCAAAACGGTGACAGTGTGCTGCTCTTGCCTGTCTTAGTTTGGTAAGCTCTGTTTTTGTTTTTTTTTCAAAGATACCTATTTGAGTAAAATGCCTTTGGCTCAATCATTTTCATGTTGTTCCTGAACTTCTCCCAGGTGACTGCTATTTGTGACTGGGTCATGCTTACTTGTATGAAGGACCGTGACCAGTATGCCAAACGTAAATTTATTCACCTGAACCAAAACGGTGACAGTGTGCCACTGGTAAGTAAAAGTTTCAAGCAATTTATTCTATATGTACATTTTTTTTTTTTTTACGCAAAATTAGACTTATTATAAAAATTATATTATTTTATACTGTTATAGAGCTCCATGGAGACAACCTCATATGGGACTCCATGATGGAGTGAACTGGACACTTTCACCGCACTTAAAACCAGTAAAACTCAATGGCCCGGTTTCATAGACAGGGCTTAGCCTAAACCAGGATTAGGCCATAGTTCAATTAGGACATCTAAGTAATTTTTATAAACATACCTTAGAGAAAAGCATTACTGGTGTGCATCTTAAGACAAAACAAAGGCACTGACATGTTTTAAGATCAGTCAGTGCACCTTTCTTTCAGTTGAAACAGCTCAGATTTACATTTTAGTCTAGGACTAGGCTTAAGCCTTGCCTGTGAAACCGGGGGTATATGTTCTTGTATATATCCAATATATACACTACTCTTCAAAAGTTTGGGGCTGGTAAGCTTGTTTAAAAAAGTCTCTTAGTCACCATTGCTGCATTTATTTGATAATTTTTTTTATAATTTATTAAATAATTTATTTGATAATAAAATACAGTAAATATTACCACATTATAAAATAACTGTTTTCTGCTATACATTTCAAATGTAATTTATTCCTATGATGGCAAAGCTTTTTTTGACCACAAATGTTTGAATGGTAATGCATACTAACTTTTGTTTATCCATCACTTGAATCTGATTGAATTTTTTATTCAGTACAGTTTGTGAGTGTATCAGTGTTTAATCACACTTAAAATGATTAGTAAATCAGGTTGGCTGTACATGCTTGACCTCTTCATTTGTTTTTTTTTAAGTTCAAAGGCATCTGTGTTAGTAAAAACATACTGACAGCATTTTTGTGGTTGATACATAATTTGGTTGCTTTGCAGGTTAAAATTGTAAAAATCACTCATCATATTCTGTATTATTGATTGTGGTTTATATAATTCCCTTTTAGGCATTGTCATTGTGATTGAATGTCTAATCATAAACTGAATAAAGTCTTATCTATTGAAGTCTGTCTGAGACGGTACAGCCTGATAGAGTCTAAGGCCACTGTATTTCCCATCAGGGCTGGGGTATTCTGCTCTTATCCTCCATATACAGCAACTGGGTATTACTGGAACAGCATCTCTAGGTGTGCTGTCACCAAAGCGCCATCTAATGAATTGAGCATAGGCCCCATGGCGCAGCTGAGCCTCCTCACGCAGCTCCGCTAGGGGATCCACATAGAACAAAGCGGTCTCCAGGACGGAGCGACTGACAACCAGTGTAGAAAAGAGCGGGGAGGAGGTTATGCAGCGTCCTTTCCTCGACCGACAGCATAGCTGCTCCTGCAAAGAGTCGGAAGGCCGGCAGCAGCCACACTGACACCAGGCCGGACACCCAGACTGTGGCATCTCCAGTAAGGGCGTGTCAGTGCTTTGTCTGCTGCTGTGACTTCTGGGAAGGTTTTCATCCACTTTTAGCCCACCACTCTGGCTGTTCTGTAAAGGCTCACTTCTGCTTTGACCACACTGCAGAACACTCATCAGAGTCTTCATGCTCGCCAAATCATTCTGAAAGAGAACCGGGTTATTACAGTTTGCTAAAACCAAAAAAACCCATGAAAATTTCATGATTTGAAATTATATAAAATGTTAACTGATATAAAACATTTTAAAAAAAGAAGGTAAACCTACTTCATTTCAGCAAGTTGGTAAGGCAACATTTCTAATTTTCATTTAGTTTAACTTGATTTACTAAAATAACTAAAACCGAAATAAAAAGTAAAACCTATATAGACATAAAAAAAACAACAACAAAAATAATAAATAGACTACAATATTACATAAAATTGACAACAAAAATGACAAGAAAATTATATAAAAATAAAAACTAATTCAAAATATTAATACAAAATATCATTGTATCTCATAGTATAGTTTATTTTTGAGTTACCGCAATGCCATATAACGAATAACATTAAATTGCGTCTGACCAAATATTAAAATTCATTGATGAAAATGAAAGTCATCATTTACTCATCCTAATACTGTTAGGAGATCATTTAAAAGGAGATAATTTAATGAATTTCATTCAATGTCAGTACATATCGACTCTTAAAACACTCATAAAACACCCAAGTATGTCAGCAAAGGTACATGCTGCTTTCTGATCATTTTCACAGTATTTTAACACCATTTTCACAATTTTACCAGAAAAATAATGGTGGCAAACCATCGTAAAAGATGCACTGACGGTGCACAGGATTTTGCCATTTATGATTTTACAATATCATTATTTAAACATCACGGTGCTTTTCACCAAAAACAATCGGAGGACTTGAGAAATGATTAGTGAGCCACATGGAGTGTTCGCTGACACTTCTGGGTGCTTTATCAGTGTGAAAGTGAGTCAGGATATACTGCCATTGTATTGAATTCATTGTGTTCTGCAGAAGCAAGCAAGCCTTACAGGCATGGAATGACATGAAGATGAGTAAATGATGACAGAGCTTTCTTTCCGAGTGAACTAATCCTTTAATTCAGTTTTAGAAAATACAAAATGCTTTTTTGAATATTTAATAACAAGTATTAATTTACTGGCAAGCATGTGACAATATAATATGAGGAACTTAACTTACTCTGCGCTGGTGTAAGGAAAGGGGTTTTGTCTCCTGTAGTCTTTTCTTTCTGGATTTTTTCACCACCCTTAACTGGTCCTCATCCACAAATGACACACAAAGGAAGCACTGCAACAAACACAATACTAAATGCTAGATTCATGTGTACAGAATCTCAGTTTATGCTGTATTTAGCCCGTGTAAAGCATTAACAATGATATAAAAACTGCACACAACAAACTGAAGTGCTATCCACTATGTCAGTGTTTCTAAGGCGTGTTCACCTCTTCTCTGTCCTGTACGGCCTCAAACTTCCTCTCAGTGTAGTTCTGTTTTGCCTCTTTGGAGTAACAGCCAGTCCCAATAAGCCAGTCCAGGAATACTGTTGTCTAAAGACAAACTCAGTGGTAAACATTTCATTACTTCAAACACTTTTCCGACTTGCTGAGTGTTTAAGGGTTACTCACAAGAGCGTAATACGAGAGCGTAGATCCAATGTAGATGATTAGCTGAATGATGCTGAACTTTCCAGCCTGCATAGAATTTAGAGAACTTTTTATATGCTAAAGCTAACATGCAAAGTAATGACAATATAGTATAATATAATCTCACCTTCCCAAACACCATCACATCAAACCTAATCCCATACATTTTAAAGAGCGTTCTCTGCTCCTCACCATTCACTGTAGAGTATCTTGCAAACCTACACGAAAGAATGAATTTCAATATCACACGCAGTTCACATATTTTCAATATGATTTAAGTTGTTCACACCTGAAATTGAGCCCAGGGTACAAGGTTCGGTTGCTTTCTTTTTCATCCAAGCGACGGAATGAGTATTTGGGCAGACAGCTGTGAAAGATGTGGTTCAGGTCACAGTCCCAGTTGATCTGGATCCCAATCACACCACCCTGTGGAGCAGATACTACCAGCAATGTAAAAACTGACAAAAATTTACTAGCCTACTTTGCAACTAAATTACACAAATACACTACTGTTCAAAAGTTTGTGGTCAGTAAGATTTTTATTTAAAGAAATTAATACTCTTATTCAGCAAAAATGCATTAAACTAATCAAAAATGACAGTCAAGACATTCATAATGTTACAAAAGACTTCTATTTAAAATAAACGCTGTTCTTTCGAACTTTATATGAAAAGAACAGATCACTGTTTCCACAATAGCCTATATTAAGCAGCACAACGGTTTTCAACATTGATAATAATAAGAAGAAATGTTTCTTGAGCTCCAAATCAGCATACTGTATTGGAATGATTTTTTACTTTTTATTCAAAAGTATCACAGGTTCCAAAAATATTAAGCAGCAAAAACAGTTTCTAACATTGATAATAAATCAGCATGTTGTTAATAAATCAGAATGATTTCTGAAGAATCATGTGACACTGAACACTGGAGTGATGGATGATGAAAATTCAGCTTTGCATCACATGAACAAATACTATTTTACAGTATATTAAATTAGAAAATCATTATTTTAAATAGTAATAATATTTCACAATATTACTCTTTTTTCTGTATTTTTGATCAAATAAACGCATCCTTGATGAGCAGAAGAAACGTCTTTAAAAAACATAAAAAATCTTACTGATCCCAAACTTTTGAACGGCAGTGTATGTCCTAGTGTGCTTGGAAAGAAAGGTTTTACCTCCACTGCCATCTCTGAAAAGTTCTCCTTGGCCTCACTCACAATGTCTCCCAAACGGAAAATGGGGCAGTATGGATTTTTGTAGCGGTTATAAATGCAACCTTTAAGGTCAGTGTCTTTCATTTGAGGCAGGATGTTTCTTCCACAATACCTATATATATATATATATATATATATATATATATACAGCCTACTTACCTCTATCCTATGGCAGTTTTCCGGCATCCCTCCTCCACCCCAACTCCTCACTCTTAATCTATTCTCATCCCATACTAGGCATAGGGGGAGTTCTCTGGGTTCGGGCTTAGAGCCCTCCCCCAGGACAGCACGCCAAAATATGCTTACTATTTGATCAATCAGATTATATGTAAGGGTGAACTCGTGAAAGTTAAATGTTATTGTTACTGCTAACAGTTCACGGTTTATTTTAAGGTGTCCTTGTTACACATTACATGTACTTACTATTATAATAACAATAAATTATGCATAATTACATGCAAGTGACCCTAAACCAAACCCTAATCCTAACCCTAACCATATAGTAAGTACATGTAGTTAATTAATATTACTCAGTACTTAAATGTATAATAACTTTAAAACTTGTGTACTACCTTATGTAATTAAATGCTGGAAATCTGATGTTATTCTTGATCATCACAGTGATCACAGTGAAAGATGCCAAAAGAGCAGACCTGGGGAAACAGAAATGAAAACCTGACATAAGAAAACTTCCAAAACTTCCGTCTCTGTTCATATAAAACTGCAACTTCCTCAAACAGATTCCTCAAATGTCTCTTTGGTGGCATTGGTAGCTTTGAACTGCAGTGTCAACTGTTTTTTATTCATTTTGCAGCATAGCTGACGATGAGCTGTTTTTTATTGCCAAATAGCTTTGCTGTCACCGTAAGTTTGAATCTTAATTAACAAACAACAACAGTATGCAGGACAAACAGTCAATCAAGAGTCAATCCTACATTTAATTATGACAAAATACTGTCATGAAACTGGTACAGTTCACCAAAAAATTTATATTCGGTCATCATTTACTCAACTTCGTGTCATTCCAAACCAGCATGACTTTCATATTTCGAATGAAAAATGTCTCAGGTTTTTTTGGAACATACAATGAAAGTCATTTGAGACTTTCATTATATGGACAAAAACATTTTTATATTAACATAATATCTGCATGTGTTACATACAGGTTTGGAACGACACAAGAATAAGTAAATAATGACAAAATGTTATATTAAAACTATCCCTTTAATATAAATGAGCACATTACAGCACCTGGGATTCCTCTTGTTCTCAATGGGGCACCAAGCTGTAACTTCACACGTTTTCTTTAGTACATCTAACTTCACACAGCCACCTGTTTGAACACCTTAGAGACAAACACAGGAACAAACCTCAGATCATGGAAAAACATCCAATAATGGTTTAGGTTTTCAGTGATATAAAATACAGCTCGGGTAGTGTTATTCGAATATTCAAACAATTCAACATTTAATTTCATATCAAAATAAGATTGGTCTGACATCGAAATACTTCCTCTCAAGCTGCATGACTTAAAATAGTTTCTTTATATAACATTACCATGGCTATGTTGGTCAGAAAACCCTTTCTCACAGTCTTTATCTGTTCGACACAGTTTCCCATGTGGTAGAACCTGAAGTGTGAACATAAAACCGTCTGTTGAATGGATTATATTTGGCTTAAAATGGTAGTGGTGAACAAAAAAAGAGCATTTTATAAGGCTTAAGATACATTTTGTATTGTATTACCAAATAAACTGAAATTAGAATAGCTGCACTTACCTCGGGGCAATTACCTTGTTTTTGGTTCTTTGTTACAATGACATTTGTCGCCACAAAAAAGGAGTTTCTTCCCTGCCGAAATAAAACAAGAACAACATTATTTATTACCTGTATTTGTTTATTACCTTAACTTACTACCTCGTTTTTAAGAGTCACTGGGATGAGCATAAATCTGTTTTTGTGGCATGAAAAAATTATAATAATAAATGGTGTACTGTTACCTGATATGGTCCGCTGTAGTAACTATTAAACTATTTCTTGCTATGATTTTAAATCTGTATTTAACCTCAGAACGATCTAAAAGTAAAAAGAGGTGCTAAAGTTTGATTTTGCAGTGACTAAATAATTATAATCAATTCAAGTGATAAAGGATTTTGAAAGTCTGACAGTAATCAGTGTTGAGTCCTGCTGTAAGGTTAACCCTGCCAGCTTTAAATGTTTGAAAATGATTAACAATTGAGAAAAATGTTGAAAAATTGTAACACTTTATTTTAAGCTGTTCTTGTTACACGTTACATGTACTTACTATTATAATAACAATTAATTATGCATAATTACATGCAAGTGACCCTAAACCAAACCCTAATCCTAACCCTAACCATATAGTAAGTACATGTAGTTAATTAATATTACTCAGTACTTAAATGTATAATTACACTGTAACAAGGACACCTTAATAAAGTGTAACCCATAAAGTATGTTAGTGCACCAACATTTGTACTGTAAATATAATAGCATTTGCAACTATAAAACTTGTGTACTACCTTATGTAATTAAATGCTGGAAATCTGATGTTATTCTTGATCATCACAGTGAAATTTTCTGCAGATGCCAAAAGAGCAGACCTGGGGAAACAGAAATGAAAACCTGACATAAGAAAACTTCCGTACACCGAATCTCTGTTCATATAAAACTGCAACTTCCTCAAACAGATTCCTCAAATGTCTCTTTGGTGGCATTGGTAGCTTTGAACTGCAGTGTCAACTGTTTTTTATTCATTTTGCAGCATAGCTGACGATGAGCTGTTTTTTATTGCCAAATAGCTTTGCTGTCACCGTAAGTTTGAATCTTAATTAACAAACAACAACAGTATGCAGGACAAACAGTCAATCAAGAGTCAATCCTACATTTAATTATGACAAAATACTGTCATGAAACTGGTACAGTTCACCAAAAAATTTATATTCGGTCATCATTTACTCAACTTCGTGTCATTCCAAACCAGCATGACTTTCATATTTCGAATGAAAAATGTCTCAGGTTTTTTTGGAACATACAATGAAAGTCATTTGAGACTTTCATTATATGGACAAAAACATTTTTATATTAACATAATATCTGCATGTGTTACATACAGGTTTGGAACGACACAAGAATAAGTAAATAATGACAAAAATGACAAAATAAACTATCCCTTTAATATAAATGAGCACATTACAGCACCTGGGATTCCTCTTGTTCTCAATGTTCTCAATAGCTGTAACTTCACACGTTTTCTTTAGTACATCTAACTTCACACAGCCACCTGTTTGAACACCTTAGAGACAAACACAGGAACAAACCTCAGATCATGGAAAAACATCCAATAATGGTTTAGGTTTTCAGTGATATAAAATACAGCTCGGGTAGTGTTATTCGAATATTCAAACAATTCAACATTTAATTTCATATCAAAATAAGATTGGTCTGACATCGAAATACTTCCTCTCAAGCTGCATGACTTAAAATAGTTTCTTTATATAACATTACCATGGCTATGTTGGTCAGAAAACCCTTTCTCACAGTCTTTATCTGTTCGACACAGTTTCCCATGTGGTAGAACCTGAAGTGTGAACATAAAACCGTCTGTTGAATGGATTATATTTGGCTTAAAATGGTAGTGGTGAACAAAAAAAGAGCATTTTATAAGGCTTAAGATACATTTTGTATTGTATTACCAAATAAACTGAAATTAGAATAGCTGCACTTACCTCGGGGCAATTACCTTGTTTTTGGTTCTTTGTTACAATGACATTTGTCGCCACAAAAAAGGAGTTTCTTCCCTGCCGAAATAAAACAAGAACAACATTATTTATTACCTGTATTTGTTTATTACCTTAACTTACTACCTCGTTTTTAAGAGTCACTGGGATGAGCATAAATCTGTTTTTGTGGCATGAAAAAATTATAATAATAAATGGTGTACTGTTACCTGATATGGTCCGCTGTAGTCCACCACATCCCACACAACTTCTCCAATGTCTGGTATAGTTATCTTTGCCACTCCCTTAACCTTTGTGGTAACAGAACTCACTACAAGATCATACTCTTGATATTCTGTATTCCAAAGCATCATGATACTGGAAAGTAAAGACATTACATTGACTTGTGACTTCGAATCAAGAATCTACGTTGGTCAGTACATGTAAACACATAATAACACGTGTAAATGACTCACTGGCAGTGATTGTACTGTACATGAATGAGCTTTTGTTAAATGACGCGGGGGCGACATGCAAGAAACAGCGGACACAAACACTTACCAAATGAACATCAAAATCACTCCGTTTAACGTCCATTTCAGAGACCCAAGTCTGACGCTCTTGATTTTGACGAGTTTTTGCGTGTCATATTCACAGAGGTTCAGCAAAGTGCAAGGCATGGCGGTGACTTGTAAACACTGGCGAAGGCACGATGACTGCGTGCGGAGTGCAGCTGTGCTGAGCTGAGCTCGCGCTGCGCAGGAGGAGGAGGTCACATGGTCTTTTGGAAGACAGTTAGCCTATTTGCCACTCTCAGACTTTTCACTGAGACTAATGTATTCAAAATTATTAGGCTACATTATATCCACTTTCATCTTGGAATCATGCCTTCTCAGTCTTTAACATTATTTGAAATACATTTTAAATAACTAGGCTATTTTTTCGTTTCCTACTGCGGAATTCCACTCTTTCTCTTTTTTAATTTTAACTTGTAAGATGAAAAGTTATATTTTTCTTTTTTTTTTATGTCCTAGTGTGCTTGGAAAGAAAGGTTTTACCTCCACTGCCATCTCTGAAAAGTTCTCCTTGGCCTCACTCACAATGTCTCCCAAACGGAAAATGGGGCAGTATGGATTTTTGTAGCGGTTATAAATGCAACCTTTAAGGTCAGTGCCTTTCATTTGAGGCAGGATGTTTCTTCTAAGAGAAAAACATAAATAGATGGCTATATTATCAGTTTTTGAATACTAAATATAAGGAGCTTCCTTCTGCCTAACATTTAATGATGTTTTATTAACAAGATTCGGGAGGAGCACAATCAGATAATCAACCAATTTGGCACAAGTGTAACTCGTTTAGCTAATCATCCTAACTAGCACAATACCTATATATATATATATATATATATATATATATATACAGCCTACTTACCTCTATCCTATGGCAGTTTTCCGGCATCCCTCCTCCACCCCAACTCCTCACTCTTAATCTATTCTCATCCCATACTAGGCATAGGGGGAGTTCTCTGGGTTCGGGCTTAGAGCCCTCCCCCAGGACAGCACGCCAAAATATGCTTACTATTTGTTCAGCCCTCGTAACGCCATTTTGCCCCTGCCCCTCCAGAGGTCTGTGCACGCCACTGCTGAAATGGATGATGTATGCATCTGAATATTTATATACTTACAGCAGCCATTAAAGTCAGAGCAGAGGCTATGCTGATAATTGTAGGAATAATACTAAATTTTCTTGCCTGGAAAAGATTCATATATACATATATTAAAAGCATGTATTATATCACTTGTGCTCTGATGTCTTTAGCATTTGAGTCACATACCGTTCCAAACACCATGATGTAAATGAATTCCATACACTCTGTAAAGTGTTTTTTTCGCTTCTGTCCTGCAGCATCAGTGGAATAGTGAGCAAATCTGAGAAGACAATTATTGGCAGTATTGAGCATAACAACATTCCGTGTCAAATTAACCACATTTTGGAAACTTCCCCAGCTCAAATGTTTGATTTTGTTAATGTTTTTGGTAACACTTTATTTTAAGGTGTCCTTGTTACACATTACATGTACTTACTATTATAATAACAATTAATTATGCATAATTACATGCAAGTGACCCTAAACCAAACCCTAATCCTAACCCTAACCATATAGTAAGTACATGTAGTTAATTAATATTACTCAGTACTTAAATGTATAATTACACTGTAACAAGGACACCTTAATAAAGTGTAACCCATAAAGTATGTTAGTGCACCAACATTTGTACTGTAAATATAATAGCATTTGCAACTATAAAACTTGTGTACTACCTTATGTAATTAAATGCTGGAAATCTGATGTTATTCTTGATCATCACAGTGAAATTTTCTGCAGATGCCAAAAGAGCAGACCTGGGGAAACAGAAATGAAAACCTGACATAAGAAAACTTCCGTACACCGAATCTCTGTTCATATAAAACTGCAACTTCCTCAAACAGATTCCTCAAATGTCTCTTTGGTGGCATTGGTAGCTTTGAACTGCAGTGTCAACTGTTTTTTATTCATTTTGCAGCATAGCTGACGATGAGCTGTTTTTTATTGCCAAATAGCTTTGCTGTCACCGTAAGTTTGAATCTTAATTAACAAACAACAACAGTATGCAGGACAAACAGTCAATCAAGAGTCAATCCTACATTCAATTATGACAAAATACTGTCATGAAACTGGTACAGTTCACCAAAAAATTTATATTCGGTCATCATTTACTCAACTTCGTGTCATTCCAAACCAGCATGACTTTCATATTTCGAATGAAAAATGTCTCAGGTTTTTTTGGAACATACAATGAAAGTCATTTGAGACTTTCATTATATGGACAAAAACATTTTTATATTAACATAATATCTGCATGTGTTACATACAGGTTTGGAACGACACAAGAATAAGTAAATAATGACAAAATGTTATATTAAAACTATCCCTTTAATATAAATGAGCACATTACAGCACCTGGGATTCCTCTTGTTCTCAATGGGGCACCAAGCTGTAACTTCACACGTTTTCTTTAGTACATCTAACTTCACACAGCCACCTGTTTGAACACCTTAGAGACAAACACAGGAACAAACCTCAGATCATGGAAAAACATCCAATAATGGTTTAGGTTTTCAGTGATATAAAATACAGCTCGGGTAGTGTTATTCGAATATTCAAACAATTCAACATTTAATTTCATATCAAAATAAGATTGGTCTGACATCGAAATACTTCCTCTCAAGCTGCATGAC